CCTCCCCTGCCCCCCCGCGCCCCCGGCTTCCACCCCCCAGTTCTCCTCCCTCCCTCCGTTTTTAATACCAAGAAGCACAGTGAGGGGCGTGGACGACTCCCCCCCGGGACGGAAGCCACTTTGCACTTTTTCTATGAGAGAGGGGTGCCCAACCTCCCCCAGCTCCTACCGAAATGCTTTGCTGCGTATACTACTGACCAGGCCAGCGGTTGGGGCAGCCCCCGGGGCGGGCCGAAGGGAGCGACTGTGTATGTGGCCCCCTGCCCCCATTCCCTCTGCAGTGCCATGTTATAGCGTCGTCTGGTCGCCAGTATGGATCTGTGTGTGTCTTGGTAGGGCCCGTGTTGTGTGTGTGAGCGGGGGCGGGGCGCCGCGCCGGGCCGGGGGCACCCTCTGGGGCAGCCGAGGAACAAGCGTTCTTCCACTTCCTTCCCAACGCCACTAGCTTAGGAAACCATTTGCACTAGCCAGCCTTTGGCCGGCCCGGGGGGCACGTGTGACCCTACCTGCAGCTCGGACGGGTACGGGGGCCCTGAGCATCAGCCGGGCTGGGAGAGGGAGGCCAGGGTGCTCCGCTACCAGCTGCGCTCTCACCCAGGCGCAGGCGTGTTGCTTGTAGAGCCGGGCAGGGGGAGCCAAAGGGAAGGAGAATCCCAGATCAGAAAGTCCCGGTGGAGGGCTGTGCCTTTTTTTTACGATGGACACAAAGGGTTCAAATAAATCCCCCCCCCCCACAGGGAGGGCCGGCCGACCCCGGCTCTGCGCACGGAGATACGGTACCAGGCGCTCGGTCTGTGCCGCGCTGGGAGCTGTCAGACTCCACCCGTCCCCGTTGCGAGCGGGAAGGCTGGGGAGGGCAGGGTTAGGTTGCAGCCCGCTGGGGTAGCTGGGAGCCTCGCTGCAGTCAGGTGGCCGGCGGAGGGCCCGGAGCAGCCGTGCCAGAGAATAGCGAAGACTCCCTCCCGCGCCTGCCCTGCTGCCTGAGCTGGGCCCTTTCCAGCCCTTGGCATGCGGAGCCTCGAGTTTTCATTCCCCCCAAGCTGGCAAAACCAGGGCCCGCAGCCCAGGCCCAGGCCCAGGCCCAGGCCGCCTGCTTAGGCCTGAGGCTTTGCTGTGACGGTCTGGAGAGGGGAGCTGGCCTGGTGGCGGGAGGGGGGGGCGTGTCAGTCCTGGATACAGCCCCTCGGTCAGCTCAGCCCCCTGCTCCCTGGAGCCCCGGCTCTTCAGAGGCCGGCCTCCCAAATTGTCATTGGGCTCCCCAGCCGTGCCAAGCCCCGGTTGTAGCACTTTACCCTCCCCAGCGAGGGGTGTGTCTGGGGCCGGAAGGGCAGCCCCAGGTCCCTGAGCACTGGTCTAGGTGGCTCTGCTGCAGAGGCGCCTGGCGCTGTGAGCTGCCCGAAGCTCCTACTCGTGCACTTTAGAAAGGGGGTGGCCAGTCCTTGAAGGTCTCTTCTCGCCTGGGCTCCCCTCCCCTAACGCCAGGGGTCTGGTGGGCGGGCGAGGGACCTCCCCTGCTGGTAGGCAGCAGGTGCAGCGGGGCCCACAGGAATGGCCTGCGGGGCCGAGTGCTTGGGTGTTAGCTTCCTCAGTGGCCGGCTCCGCAGGTGGCCTCCCCTCCCCGCGGGCTCTGTGTGCCGAGCTGGTAAAGCAGGGCCCGGGGGCCTGCTCCCTGTCGATTGATTCTCGCACGCCCCAGGCGCTGGGTGTTCCCCCTCCCTGTGTATTGCATCATGGCCGTGGGGCCGGATTGCTCTCTGCGTCTTTCCGTTCCTTCCTCTGCTTGTGATGGGATTGACGAGTCCCCTCTGGCAGGAGAGCCCAGGCGCTCTCTCGCTTCTTCCTAGCCTAGGACAAGGGACAATAAAGGATCCTTCCAACCTGCCTGCCCGTAGCTTTCTCTGTGACCAGAGCTGTGAGCCAAGAGTTACGGGGCGGAGGGGCAGCTCATGCTCTCGGAGCCTGGCTTGGGTCTTTGCACTCCTCTGCTCGGCTGCTCCTGCGGGGCGTCGGGTCGCTGGAGGCCGAGCAGTCCTTCCGTGGTGGAAGCAGGACCCCAGCGGGTG